CCCTGCCTCCCGGTGCTCTGAGGATTCCACAGGATGAGGGCACAGGCGGTGAGGTGCCCGGTCCAGGGCCCACAGGGCAGGGAGCAGGCGCTGGCCTGGCAGGCTCTTCCCTCGGGTTTCCACCGCCCCAGGAGGTACCAGGGCACACGGGGTGTGTTGCTACCAACGGAGGTCCCACCTAGGTCCCCAGGCCCACCTCTGCCAGGGGCCCCCCAAAAGCACACGTGAATGCGCACAGCCTAACACGCCCAGCTCCCCCACAGGTGCCCGCAGACCTCCCTTCGAGCTGTGCCCTCGGCAGTGCCCCTCCGGGCTCTCGGAGGAGGAGCGCTCAGACGAATCCTCTTGTGAAGCATTTGGATTTTTCCATCTGGTGGTGCCAAAACGTCTTTCAACAAAAGGGGTGACTAATAAACATTTCTGGGAACGGATAATTTTTCCAAGAACTGGCAAAAGTGAGATGACCTCACCTTGCCGAGAGTGTGAGCTGTCTGTCTCCCTCGGTCTGAACCTCGGGGGGAAGGATGAGGCCGGCGCAGCACCCGGCCGCCCCAGGCAGCAGCGTGGGGAGTGGGCAGGAGCTGAACCCGGGGGGGGGGGGGGGGGAGGGGGGGAGGTGCGGGGGGTCAGAGGGGTTCTGGACACGGATATGGGTACGACTGCTGAGGCCCACACAAGACCCCCGTGCACCCAGCGCCCCAGGCTTGCTCTCCCCCCACTTCCCAGCCTGTGCCCACTTCTGTGCTTGGAGAACGCTCCTCTGCCTGGGAGCCCTGCTTTGCCCAGTGAACACTGACGACGGCTCCCTCCCCCAGGAGGCCCTCCTCCCACCCCGCTCAGAGGAAGCTCCCCTGCACCTGCTGCCTCAGGCTGGGCCCCGCCACACACCCGCCTTCTTTGCTCCCGTCTGCGTGCCTGTGCTCCTCCTGGACGGTAAGCTCCTTGGGGACTAGGCCCGTCTCCTCCACAGCTGCAAGCTCAGCACCCAGAGCAGGATGGGGCCCTCAATGGAGTTTAGGGGCACACCCCAAACCCCTTGCTCGGTGCCCTCCCAACCCCCAAGCTGGGCCCTCTCTCACAAAGGAGGGAAGGACTGGGGGTGGGGACGGCTGTGTGAGGGAGCAGGACTCCTTCGGCTATGCACCGCTGTGCCTGTGTGTGCATGTGTGTGCATGTGCTTGTGTGTGCGTGTGCATGGGCGTGCCTGTGCAGAGTGGCTGTGTGAGATGAGAGGAGGTTGTGCAAACACGAGGAGGTGAGAGGACCACACGGGGCCCCCCCAGGGAGCACAGGGACAAGGTGGAGTCGAGGCCGGAGGGAAAGAGAAAGGCGGAAGGTTGAGGGGCAGGGCCTGGGAGGAGTCAGGAGGAGCCTGGGCCCACAGGTGGGGTGAGGGTGCTCTTCTGCCCCTTCCATGCCATGTCGCCATGTCAGCTGGGAGCACAGGGGGTGCTTCCCACGCCAGCCGAGGTGCCCAGCCCTTGGTTGGGCCTGGTCAGCGTCCTCGCACAACCGATGCTTGGAACAAGGTGCACCCGGCACTCTCACTGCCCGGACTCCGCTGGCTCCCAGGACACGGGCCACAGAGCAGCGCCCCCAGCAGGTGCGCTCTGCCTGCATAGGGCGCAGGGCACAGACTCTGTGGCGGACACACACACACACACACACACACACACACACACAGAGTCACACACGCACACTCACGGCAACGTTACATCAAGGATAGACCTCCAAGGCTGGGCTTCCTGCAAAGCTGCCAGGAACGGCCGAGACACTTGGCAATAATAAAAGTGTCTTCCGTGAACAACCGGCTTTCTCGGGGGCCTTTGCAAGGTGAGCCGGAACCCCTAGAGGGCATCAGAGGACTGAGGTGGCCAGGAGAGGGGCTGCGGGACAGTGTCACCGTGGACCTGCCCAGGGAGATGGCACGGGGCTGGGTGGGGCCGGGCTGGCTCATCTAGGGGATGTCAGGTGCCCTGGGTCACACCTCCATTTGACAGATGGGGACACTGAGGCCCAGGCTTGTGGCTCCCGGTCCCAAGTCCCAGGGCAAACCCGGAACCTGTGCGCCCTTTCCCTGTAGAAGAAACGGACCGCCCTGCCCTGCCCTGCCCTGCGGTCTCTCGAGTGAATGTGAGAAGCATGGAGGGGCTTGGCCCTGAGACCCCCCCACCCCAATGCCCTCCTGCCCTGCCAGGTGCCCACCCCAACCCTCCCCAGGCCGGGCCCTCTCTCACTGGCAAACATGCCCAAGAGACACAGGGTGGGACCTGCACACCCCACCCGGCCTCACTGCCCGCTTCCCCAGCCTCGCGCCCCCCTGACCGCTGCCCAGGTCAGCGGACCCTTGTTCTGCACCAGCACCACCAGCGCCGAGCTGGCCTCAGAGGGGCCGCTCTTCTCCCGGGGCGGGCGGGCGGCAGACCCAAGTTTCTAATTAGCAGCTGCTGGAACATCCCAGGGCCCGTCTGTAGGTGAAGGAACCGTGTTTCCTAATTGGCTCCCCGCCGGGGTGTCGGTCAGAGGGCAGACACTGGACGGCCTCTCCGACCGCCCCGCTACCCCCCCTCCCCCCGGGATCCTGCCGCCCTGGTCTGGTCTCCCTGCCTGGCCTCACCTCCTCACCCAGCCCCAGGCCAGCACCCCCTCATCCTCTCCCTGCTCTTCGATCCCGGGGCCGGCCCAGGTCTGCTCCTGGGTTGGGAGGGACACCTCTGTTCACACTCCTTTCAGGGTCCAGGGTCCCAACAGGATCCGCCCCAGCCTCAGAGCCAGGCCTGCAGCTGCGGGGGTGGGGGGGGGGGCTGCCCCCTGCTGTGTCCGTGGGCCCAGCCCGGACCTGTGGGTACCACTCACACCTTCCTCACTGAACCCTCCCCGAGGCCCTCCCCACTCCCCCGCAGGCTCCTGTAAGCCATCCCCAGAAGCCCCCGCACCTCCTTCCTGATCCTTCCCTGTCCTGCCTCTCCACACACAGGCCTCGATGCTGAGCTGAGTGGGGGACCCCAAGAGTATCAGGGACAATCCTGGGGAACAGAACCCCCCAATGTTTTGGGGGGAATGGAAGGGGAAGTGCCAGTCCTGGCCTTGGGGTAACAGGCCAAGGGCGTGGTTAGGAGGCATTAAAGCAAAGGCCAGAGCTCCAGGCCTGGTCAGCTCCCTGCATGTGCTGCTCCTCACGTCCTGCCTGGGCAGTGGGTGTGGGGGACGGGAGGGGGCGCGTTGGGGGGTCTCAATGAAGTCTGGAAAGGTGAACATGGGGGCCGAGGCTAAACGTAATGCGGGGAGCAGAGGGGACCCAGGGAAGGGCCTGTGGGAGGAGCAGAGGCTGGGCCACAACTGGCTGGTCACTGTCCCAGCTGGCCAGGTCCCACCTGGGGCCACAGGGAACGGAGGCCTGCCCCCTCTGACCCCTGCTCCATTCTGATCCTCCCTGGGGGTGTCAGGGGCAAAGGGAAGGCAAGGGCTGAGTCAGGGAGCAGAGGTCAAGTGCAAGCCAGAGGCTGTGCCCTTCCATCCCCACCGGCAGGAGAGGAGCCCGTGCCCCAGGGAGGCCCCAGCGAGGACAGGGCGCAGGCAGGCTGGGGACGCTTGGGTCTATGAAGAGAGGGTACTGGGCCCCTTGGGCAGAGAGAGGGGCTGCCAGATGGTGGGCGAGGAGGCCGGAGAGCTCGGAGGGGCTGTGTCCCCGGGGAATGGCAGGGGCGTGAAGGTGGAATTCCATGGAGGACGAGGAGTCAGGAGAGAACAAAACGGGACGGAGTCCAATGGAATCAGGTGGAAACGGGATCCGTTTTGGTAACTTTTAAACAAAAGTCCAATTTGTCCTTTTTCACTCGAAAAACAGAACCGGCTGTGGGTCTACTCCTGACAGGAAGCCTGCTCAGCTCTCTCGTCCCAGCCCCTCCCCGGCGTCTACTCAGGGGCGCTTCAAGCCAAGGTGGAAACAACCCTGGCCCACGTGGCTGTCTAGTCTTCCCCTTCCTGCCCATCCTGGGCAGCGGGGGTGGGGGAGGCATGGTGAGGGGCACAGGGCCTGCAAGGACAGCCTGGGCTCGCCCCTGGCCCCCAGGTCAGGAGGAGCCCCCCGGGAAGGCGCCAGGCCTGGCCTCACAGCCCCGGGGGCTGCCTCTAGGCTGTGCTACGTCCTGGCTGGGCGACCAGGAGGACACCCTTCTCCACAGGGCCTTCCTGCCCTGCCAGGGGGCAGGGCCTGAATGACTCTCCGACTTCCGTCTGCTTGTCCCTCTGCTCTGCACACAACCTGTGGCCAACACGGCCTCCCCCTCCTGCAGGCTCCCCGTCCGTCTCCCGCCCACCAGGACCGAGGCCAGGCTGTGCCCCTGTGTCACATGGTGTCTGGCCAGTGAGAACTCTCAGGGCCCAGAACCACAAGGCCGCCGCCTCACCTCCCACCAGGCAGGCCCGCACCGGACTCTCAGCAGATGCTTAAGGAGGCGGGAAAGGGAGCTCCATGGGGAAAGGGGGCAAGGGGCTCACTGTCCCCAGGGAGGGGAGAACTGTGCGCGATGAGAGTAGGGGGACGGGAGACCCTCCCCAGCTTAGACAGCCCGAGGGCTCAGGTGACGGAATCTGCAGGCGGCACCCAGGCTGGCAGCCCCGCGGCTCCGGTTGGCCGTGTTCACACTCCCGTGGATCAGAGTGACAACGCGCTGTTCCCCAGCCCAACCCCAGCGCCTTCTGAAGTCAACCCCAGAGGAGGTGGCGTCAGGGATCTGCGTCTCAAACGCGCCATGGACCTCCCTTTGAGCAACAGAGACTCAGGCCGAATGTGCACAGAATGGACGAGTCCGAGGCCGCCCCCCGCTGGGCTGGGCACCGCCCTGCAGGGCTGGGGTACCCGGGTCCTCACGCCCTGTGGCCCTGGTGCCCCTCGCCGCCAAGGACCGAGGTGGAAGGGATGAGAAGTCCTGGGCGTGGGATCTGTCCGGCTCGGCTCCTGCTCGCTGGTCCCACGCGCGCCCCGCCGCCTCACTCACCATAGTCCTTCTTGCAGTACTTTTTCATGTTAATCTTCAGCTTCCCTTTGGAGGCCTTGCAGTAGGAATCACAGTCTGCAGGGGAGGGAGAGCACAGACAAAACCCAATTAGGCTGGTGCTGACGAGGCCTCCGGCGAGAGGCGGGGCCACCTCCCTAAATACCCAGAGGCCCATGATACCCCCGGGCAAGGCCGGGCTGCGGCCATTCAGGGCAGGCCTGGCTTCTAAAGAGGCGCTTGGGACAAAGGCCCCCCACCCCTCCTACCCCCCAGCCTGAGGAATCCTTCAGCCGCTGCCTGCAGCCCCCTTGGCCTCCGGGAGGGACGCTGGGGGCTCCCACTTTACGCCACCCAGGGCTTCTGAGCCACACAAATTCCCCCGCTCAGAGACGCAAGTGGAGCCTGATTAAAGCCGATAGAGGCCTCATTGTCGCCCGCCCGGGTCTGTGTCAGGCGCTGGCTTTCATGGCGTGGAGCCTCTGGCTGGGGTCAGGCCCCAACAAAAGGGGTCAGAGAGGAAATTAGCAGCCCGTGAAGTATTAGAAAACCCCGTTGGTGTCCACTCTACTGGAGTGTGCAAATAGAATGCCCCCGAAGACGAGTTCAGTTCTAATGGGCCCTACTGCTGACACTGGGCGGCCTGGCTGCAGCCGCCGGGGAGCACCTCGGGGCTCCCCCAGTCGAGTGCGAGCCAGGCGGGATGTGGAGGGCCCCGGGCCTGGCCAGAAATCAGGCCTGCTTCTCCTGGGGGTGGCCTGTGGCAACCCACCCACGGCACACCTCCAACCCCAGCCCAGCACGCCCGCCCCCCCGCACCCGCGGGCTCCTGCTGCTCTGCAGTTGAGGTGGTGCAATGCCTTCACTAGGTCCATGTCTGAGGCCCAGTGATTCATCCCGGCCTCCCGGCACCACTACTTGACACGTTGGATCCTGTTCAAGTCTCACAAACATTCTTGGATGGGTGGGTGCTATTCCCATTCTGCGGATACAAAAACTGAGGCCGCCTGCCCAATGCATCCCAGACAGCTAGCACCAAGACTGGACCTAGAACCGAGGCTGAGACGTCAAAATGAGTGTCCCCGTGCTTACGCCATGCTGGGTCTCAGTAAACACGGCAGTCCCTCGGTGGGCGTGCGTGTCAGGCTCAGAACTGGGGACGAGGAGTGGCCCCGTGTTCCAGCAACTCCTGGACTGCCCGCGGGAGCAGCCAGGACGGCCTGGGCCGTGAAGGCCCCCTGTTCTAGGAGCGATGACAGCCTGGGGTGCTGGGAGTGGGAGGGGGTGTGTCCTGGGGAGGGTGACTAAAAAGGTGAAGGGGACACACACGCACACACAGACATGCAAATGACTGGCCAGCCCTTCACTGTGCGGAGTGGGAAACTGAGGCCAAGTTAGGGGAAAGCAGTGACTTGGGTTGGGAGCACAGGACAAAGCCAGGGCATGAAGTTGGGCCTCCAGTGCCCAACGCCCCAACCCCTGGCTGAAGTCTGCAGGGGATATTCAGAGATCACCCCAGAGTCAGCCGCTGACCCCATCGGAGGTCGCTGCTTCCTTCAGGGGCCTGCAATACACGGACGGTGCCTCAAATAACGTCGAAACAGCTCCGCCCCGTTGCCCTGAGCGTCACAGCTGGCAGCTGCCTAATGCCTCCGGAGCCAGCTTCCTGAGCACCCAGTTAGAGACCAGTCTCGGGAATGGAGAACAAACAGCCCCCTGCCAGCTCCCCTGGGTCTGAGCCTTGGGCCCCGCCCTGGGATGCCCTGACCAGATGCACCGGAGGCGCAGGACCAGTCCCTCCGCCCGCTGGACGGCCGGCTGGTTACTGCAGGAAGAACCTGCTGGGGTGCAGGGCCTGGGGCGTCCTGAGAGCCTGGCCTGCATGTACCACGGCCAAGTCCGAGAGGGGGAGCTGAGAGGGGATGGAGGCCTGGGCACCAGATAAGTAGCGCCGTCACCACCATCGTCACCACCACCGTCAGGGCGCTTCACTGCCGGGAAGAGCCCTCTCTGACAGCTCAGGGCAGATGACGCTCACAGCAAAGCCACTGCTGCGGCTAAACCCAGGTCGTGCGTAAGTCCTTGTGGTCCCGAGTGCGCTGGCCGGGATCCCGCCTGCTCTCTCCACTTAGGGAAGCGAATTGGAATGTAAGTGGTGCCGGGTGACGTCATTCCAGGGACAGCCTTGAATCCACTCTCGTCGCTTTCTGGTTATTTTTCAGGAAAGTCACTGGCCCCTGTTGGTGCTGCACTCAGGTGAGGAGGGAACGTGCACACTGCCTCCTCTGCAGGGTCCAGCACATCCTGCATCTCAGCTGAGGCGACAGCGGGTCCAGAGAGAGCCTTGAGGCCTGTCTGCTATTAGCCTCACAGCAACCGGTGAGGCAGGGACCGAATCCCCCTTAAAGACCAGGACACTAGAGATGGAAAGGTCCCCAGGTGCCCGCCCCTGTAAGCTCTGCCCTGCGGGGCAGAAGGGCAGGTGGCTGAGTCCTGGGACAACCTAGCCTGCACCTCCAGCTCTCACCTCCTCCCTCCCTCTCGTCACTCCCTCCTGGTTCATCTTCAGCTTCTCTTTTCAGAGCCAAGCACCCACCTGAGACAGGAAGCGTACTAGGATGTGTGGCCGCCATCACTGCCTAGTTAGCTGGAGCTCTGGACCCGGCCTGACGAATCACAGCCACCCCGGAACTATCCAGTCTGTGCCTCACACTCACACGGACCAACGGGGCCCAAGACACGGCCCTCTACCCTGCCCATCAGCCCCACATACAGATGGGAGATCCCAGCTGCAGTCTGTGCTCCCAACCCCTGGTTCCCAGCCTGGACCACACAGTGGAATCACCCAGAAGCTGTAAAAACACACGGATGCCTGCGTCCCCGCCTGAGACATTCTGACATCACTGGTACGGGGGCAGCCCTGAGTGTCCAGGCTCATAGAGTTCCCTGGTGATTCTAATATGCAGCCAGGGTTAGAAGCCAGTCTGGATCAGGTGTAGCTGTGGAGGAGGGGAGGGAGTCCCCGCACCCAGGACTTGCACAGAGCACCCAGCCGGGCAGGGGAAGGCCAGCCTGTGTGGGAGATGGCGCTCACACGGCGACACGCAGGCTCCTGCAGGACACGGAGCCAGCCTCTGAACGTGTGCAGTTGTGTGTGTGTGTGTGTGTGTGTGTGTGTGTGTGTGTCAGGAGCAGGCGGGGGGGGGGGGGGTCCTATTCGCTGCTTCCAATTTAGTTGAGAGCTAAGGAAACAGGACATCATCCCCAGCCCGCCGGGCTGTGTGTAAAGCACGGGCACGCGGGGCTGGACTAGGACACGTGCTGCTCTCCTGCGGGTGAAGCCAGTGAGCTCCGGGGCGCGGACACCGCGGCAGCTCCCTGGCTCTGGGGGCTCTCTGCGTGGGCTGGATTCCCGAGGACTGAGGTCATTGGACAAGTGGTCCCTGGGTAAGGAAAACGTCCCTGCCTCGTCTTCTGTGATCACATGCGCACTAAGCTGGGGAATCTGCTTCGAGATGGACAACCCAGCTTGAAAACGCAGCTCCGACTCCCTCAAAATGGCATCTACTTGGCAGTCACCCATGGAGCCCCTCCTTGTTCTGTTCCAAAATAGCTATAAAGACAATGAAAAAAAAAATGAAAATTCACACTAATGCCAGAAACGAAACTGATAGATGACCCAATGCTGGAATCTGGGAGCAATCTCTATTAATTAAAGGCAGATGGTGGTGGAACAAGCTAAACCTGTCCAGGTTTTACCTCCGGACACAGTTCTTTGTCTGATGAGCAGAAAGATCCTTAAAAAAAAAAAAAAAGGAAAAATGACAGAGAAACAACAACCAGAAACAAATGGGCAGGAAGTGGGCGGGGCCTGGTGACAGTGGCCTCCTTCTGGGAGGGAAAGCTTAAGGAAGGGCAGGGACTGGAAGGACGGTGTTTGCGGGAGGTATGTGAACCTGCATTTTTATCCAAGTTATCGATGCAGAGACTGAGAAAATCGGCCGAGGAGACAGAAGAATGCCAGCTCCACAGGGCAGAAGTGAACCGAGGGGAAAGGCTGGTCAGAATGAGGAACAGTCCCCTGCCATCCCTCTTGGAGCTAAACAGGAATCCAGCTGTCATGCTAGCACAGGGATCTGTGAATTTTTTTGTTGTTGTTGCAAAGTGCCAAAAGTAAATATTTTAGGCTTTGCAGGCCATACGGTCTCAATCACAACTCTTCAAGTTCTGTCGCCATAGCTGGAAAACAGTCATAGAAAATATGTAACTGAATGAGTATGGCAGACTAAAAGAATTCTAAAAAGACACATCCTCTATGAAATAGGAGAAGAAAGCCATAAGGGAAGACTACGCAAGTCTGAAAAGGCCATATGATGACACATAAAGAGCGACGTAGGAGAGAGAAAAGAGTTGAAAAAAAACAAAAACCTAAAAGCCCAGCACAATTAAAATCCACTCTGGAGGCAGTAAAGAAAAATGGTACTTGCTGTAGAGCACTGATTCAGAAAATGGAGAATGAATTGGAGGAGTTCTCCTAAAATATGGAGGAAGAGGATAGAGACATGCAAACTATGAACAAGAAAATGATAAGGGAATAGGGAAGAGTGGCGAGGTGGCATATAACTGGAAGAGAACTACAGTGGAGGCCAAGTGGAATACAAACAATCAACGATAGGGTTCCTGAGCTAAAGACAGGCCTACGCATGTCCAAGGAAAGGGCTCGTTGATGTGTTTCCATCAAGGAAAAGACACCAACACCTAGACACATCTTTGCAAAACATATGAAATACCAAGATGAGGAAAAGATACATACAGATTAAAAATCAAGAAGGAGAGGTTGGCCTGATGACTATGGCACAATGTCTATGGGTCCTGAAGAGGAAAACGTTTGTCACCCAAGAATTTTATACCTCGCTGGACTGTCTTGTATGTATGCTGGCCATGATAAACAAAAGGCATTCTCAAGTGTGCAAGGGTTCTGAAGACATTCCAATCATGTATCCTTTTTGAGAGAAATACTTGAGACTATTTCCCAACCGTGAAATCAATCAAGAGTTTAAGAGGAGAAAGTCATAGTA